TGTTCCCTCTCTCGCTGTGTCTCTCTCTCTGTCAAATAAATAAAATCTTTAAAAAAAATTTTTTTACTTGTTGATGACCAGAGACTCAAAGATTTTTAGTGGCATTTCATTTCTAAAAATGAAGTAACTTGTGTTATAGTAACAATTTAATTTTCATTAGTCATGTCTGAATTAAGGATGACTTCTGAGGCTTTGGTTTGTGTATAATTTTATGTTAAAACTTAATTGAAATTAATTTCTTAATCCATACCCTAGTATTGTGGAAAGTAACATAGCTTTGAAGTCAAACAGCCCTCCCATTCTAATACTGGTACTATTATTAATTAGGTGAGTGACCTTGGGCAAATTGTTTAACTTATCTAAGCCTTGATTTCTTAACTTAAAAATGGAGTTACGTGTTGTGTACCTTTACGAAGTTACTGGGAGGAGAGAATGAGACGCTTAGGTAAAACACGTTATATGCTGGCACTCTTTATATATCCCTCCTGTCCACCTCAAGCCTATCATTTCCCTGTTGTTTCTTTGTTTTTTTGACCTGCTTCCTTTCTGTAACTGTGATTATGAAGATTGTGGTAAGGGTGGCGGTTGACCCATAAAGGGAGAATCGTGGGGAGTTTGAGTGGAAACTGGCCAGGGAAAAAAGGGCTGTTACTGCATAAAATTTCTGAAACACTGGTCCCCTAGGCAGTAATGCATTTTCCAATTTTAAAAAATAGTGGGGTTCTACAAACTTTTGATACCTGTACAACATGGATGAATGTCCAGGGAATTATTCTGAGAGGCAAAAAAGCCAATCCCAAGAGGTTGCCTACTATGTGATTTTATTTATGTAACATTCTTGAAATGACAGAATTTTAGAAATGGAGGGTAGATTAGGGGTTGTCAGGGGTTAGGGATAGGGGAGGGGAGCAGTGGTTATAAAAGTACAGCATGAGGAATCCTTATGGTATTCAAACTGCTCAGTATCTTGACGGTGGTGGTGGATACACGAACCTACACAGGTGATAAAATTAATACACAGAATTGAGTACAAATAAAACTGGGGAAGTATGAATAAGATTTGTAGATTGTATTAATATTAGTTTCCTGGCTATGATTTTATACCATAGTTTCACAAAGTGTCACCACTGGGGGAAACTGGACAAAGTATACAAGGGCTCTTTCTGTATTATTTCTTACACCTGCATGTAAATCTACAGTTACCTCAATAAAAAATAGTTGGGCTCTATTTGATACTAAATGCGTATGTGAACTCTGTTTTATAATCTTTTCATATCTGAGAAAATAAAACATTAACAAAGGTAATATCTGCTTGTCACTCGAAATAATCTCCTCCTCCCCCACTGGGCATCTATCTTCTAAGATGCCCCTCTCCTGAGAGCGTGTCCATCTGACTCCTTGACTTAATGAAGAAGATCATGGCAACTTGCAAGCTGTACAATAGAGAGTGGGAGATATTCCCAGGTGCCCAAATCTGTGGGGCAGCACCAAGCACCATTACATGGATTTCTTTTCATTTTTTTTTTTTTTTTTACCACAACCCTGTGAAGTAAGTACTGTTCTTGTCCCCGTGTTTCACATGAGCAAGCCCACAGGAGCAGGATTTGAAAAGAACTCTACGCTCTTCCTCTTTACCATCCTAGGGAATTTAGGTTTTGTCCTTATTTTTTCAAAATTGTGGCAAAATACACCTCACATAAAATTTTGCATCCTAACCATTTTTAAGTGTATAGCTCAGTAGTGTTAAGTATATTTACATAGTTGTGTAAACAATCTCCAGAAATTGCAAAAATTTATCTTGCAAAAAGTAGTCTTTATCCCTTAAATAACAGCTCTCCATTTCTTCTCTCCCAGCCACTGGCAAGCAGCATCAGACTTGATTTGTATGAATCTGACTACTCTGGATGTCTTTCATAAGTGCATTCATAAAGTATTTGCCCCTTTGTTAATGGATTATATCACTTAGCATAATGTCCTTAAGTTTCACCCATATTGTAGCATATGCCAGAATTCCCATTCTTTTGAAGGTTGATTTAATATTCCTTTGTATGAATACACCACATTTTGTTTTTCCATTCTGTTCCATCTGTTGATGGACACTTTAGTTGCTTCTACCTTTTGGGCATTGTGAATAATGCTATTCTGAACATGGGTGTACAGATATCTCTTTGGGACCCTGCTTTCAGTTCTTTTAGCTATACCTCCAGAAGTGAGATTGCTGGATCATTTCATTGCATTGCCCTCATTTTGAAAACCACATAGACAGCAGCCAGATGCCTAGGGATCTCTCTTCTATCGTTTACTCCATTTCCCCTTCAAGGTGGTAATTAACAGAGTGTTGCAATGGGTTTAAGTGCAGATGTGTTTTTTGTTTTGTTCTGTTTTGTTCTTAATAGTTACTGCCTAAGAGGTAGGAAGTTAGTGAAAGACCTAATAGAACTGTATCATGTAAGATTATGCATTTGATTTTTAAAAAGTCTTTTAGGAAAGATGTTATTTATTACAACTGTTGGGAATATTTCTGATCACTGTTTGTGTGTGAATGCCTTCTTAAGAAGAAAGCCTTTTCTGTTTTAGGTTAATACAAAAGCTGAACCAGCAGACGATATTACAAGTTTCCTGTGGCAACTGGCATTGCTTGGCTCTTGCAGCTGGTAATATAACATTGAAATGTATGCTAATGTTATGTTAATTTGGGAATCATTTCTCTTTGCATTTGTATGTGGTGTTATCTAACTGGACACTTTTAACTCACTGGTTAGGGTCTATGCACTCCTGTTAGACAGTGGTGTTTCTGAGACAGCCTTTGTGCAGCTCATACGTTTTCAGGGCGTAGACAGTGAGGAAGGTGGTCATCATTGCTCTCCCAGGGGAGGATGAGAAGGAGGCAGGACTGAATCTCAGTGCTCTTGAACATACAGAAGATTGGTTTTTCTTAGCTGTAGTCACTCTCAAGCGACATTCCACTATCAAGCTCCCAAATAAGTGAAAAGGAGGGAGTTAGGGAAACCTAAGTCAGCAAACAATGCTATATTCCATGTTAGAATAAATTTGAAGGGAAATCTGTACCAACATGTCATGCTCAATGCTCTGTGAGATAGTCCAGGTCAAAGCTGGACCTCCTGAGCCCTGGGTTTCATGATCTTGGTGTGTTTAGAACTAGTTCAGCTCCCTTAGTGGATCTAAGCCTGGTAATTGGCCTCTTCACAACTGAATTGACTTAAACATTTAATTTTTTCTTTTCTTTGTATAAATGTTAATAGCCTTTGAAGGGCAGTAAGACTCAGTTTACCTCTCTGTTGTAATGACAAGTGGGAGTTTTGGTTTTGGCAGTCTTCATAGCATGAAGTGTCTCTGCCCCTTGCGCTCAGGAGAGTTTGGTAGGTTGAGGGGGAGCAACTAACAAATGATCTTACTGGGCAACTGTATTGCTCTAATGAGGTTATTTTTGTGAAAGGAACTTGTATCATGTCTGGTAATACCAGTTACCCTGTTTTTATTTCAGATGGTCAGTTCTTCACATGGGGAAAGAACAGCCACGGGCAGCTGGGCCTGGGGAAGGAGTTCCCCTCCCAAGCCAGCCCGCAGAGGGTGAGGTCCCTGGAGGGCATCCCCCTGGCTCAGGTGGCTGCAGGAGGAGCTCACAGCTTTGCCTTGTCTCTCTCAGGAGCAGTTTTTGGCTGGGGGATGAATAATGCAGGGCAGCTAGGGCTCAGTGATGAAGAAGGTAAGTAAACTCTTTGTGTATACCTCTTTCATTTGTTTAACACATGCTTCTTGAGAATCTCCTGTGGGCTGGCCTCATGTTAGGTTCTAAGGGTGCAGCAATGAACAAAACAGATAATACTGTTGACTTCGCGGAGACTGCATGCTGGTGGGCAGAAGTATAGTATGTCAGATGGTTTGAGAGGAGAGTTTCCTGTTTTATATAAGGTTTCCAGAGAGGGCCTTTTTGATAAGATGTTTGAGCAGAGCCCTATAGGAGGTCAGGTGGGCAAAAGGGGACATGTAGCTATCTGGGCAAAGAATGTTTCAGTCAATGGGAACAGGATGTGTAGAGTCTCTAATGTGGGAAGATAGGTGGTGTAGTCTAGAGTGGAATGAGCGAGAGGAAGAGCAGCAGGGCTGGAGGTCAGAGAGGTAGTATAGGCCTGATGATGTAGGGCCATGGAAGCAAAGGAAAGCATTCGGCTTCCCTCAGTGAAAGGGGAAGACACCGAATGTTTTGAGGAGAAGAGTGATCCAATTTAACTTTGGCTAGCGCAGGCCCCAAGGAGGCTGGAAGACCAGTTTGGAAGCAGTGGGAATAAAGTCAGATTTGAATATACTGTGAACATAGGGCCAGTTGGTTTTGCTCATTGCTGGGTATGTGCTTGAAGTAAAGAGAGGAAAAATGGAAGGATGAAGTTGCCATTTATGGACTGAGGGAAACTCTGTGTGTGTATGTGTGTGTGTGTGTGTGTGTGTGTGTGTGTGTGTTGGGGGTGGTGAGTGGACAGAGTTGGGGAGTGTGGGGAAACCATGAGTTAGGTTTTAGATGTATTCAAAATGAGATGTCTATTAGATATTCAAGTGGATGTACAGGCAGGAAGCTGAATATGTGAGTCAGGGATCCAGGGGGACCCAGAATTCATCCTAAAATAGTTGTGTATATTTCCATCTCAAAGACAAATGGTAGTGACATTCTGATTTTTCTCTTATTTTAGATCGAGAGTCTCCTTGCCACGTGAAACTCCTACGAACACAAAAAGTCGTCTATATTAGTTGTGGAGAAGAACACACAGCAGTTCTCACAAAGGTAAGGGACTCAGAGTGTTTTGGTTTGTTCTGTGATGCTTTGGTGTTGGGTATGGCACAGATGATGATTATTACTTGATTCGTTTTGATAGTATCTTTTAGAGTAGTGATGGTGTTTAAAAATAGTTCAGTATAAATAACCTTAAAATATAGTATATAGCAACATTCTGTGTTCCTTTAAAACAATTTAAATATGCGAAAAATACAGAGCAATGTACTTAATGTCTTAAAATTATCAACCTATTTTTTCTAAAACTATCACATGCAGAGAGAATGAAAATGTATTTTTATGTTGAACAAACACTGTTACAGATTCACTTCAATAAAATGCCTTAGCATTTGTTCAAGTACAGTTGTTAAAAAAGTAGCTAACTTACAAGGAGTTTGTGGAGCATTTAATTTCTTAGATATGAACGATTGTGCAGAATCATTTCATTTCACCTATCTCTGTTTCTCCTTATTTTGTTTTGCTTCCTAGCACATCATTGTACTTCTTTTTTTTTT